ACGCATGTCATCTCAAGGCACCACGATACTTGTACTAAAGTACAGAGTAAGAGTACTTTTGCTAGCTCTGCCTTACACTGGCACTACGTCACTAGAGGGTGGGATGGGGGTGGGGGGTAATTTACAGTTGAAGCTCATGACGGCCACTTTTGGGGCCCTTCCCTGACTCATCTGCTTCCATTTATCTGCCGTGTGTGTGTGTGTGTGTGTGTGTGTGTGTGTGTGTGTGTGTGTGTGTGTGTGTGTGTGTGTGTGTGTGTGTGTGTGTGTGTGTGTGTGAGGAGCAGTGATGGAAAAATTCGGTAGACACGGGCGGCATTTTAGCGGACGTGTAGCTCATCCCCAGCAGATCCTGCAGACCCCCGGCCCCAATGACTACCAACAGCACAATGACAAATACGGTATGACCAACGAGAGGTAAGGTAATGTGCGATTTTGTCGGCCGATATTGGGCTCTAAATAAAGTTGATATCCTATATACTGGCTGATATCTCACATATTCGGTGTTTATGAGGTTCTGTTTGCCTTTGGATCTTGTTGGGACAAATGCGGGGCAGGAGGTTTTCTTCCAACAGGCTGGAGGGGCCGTTTACAATGGCGTCCTCAAACCTTTTCCATGACAAATATAGTCAATATTGCAAACAGGTCGCAAAACTTTTGTGCATATTTGTACCCTCATTCATTTGCCATCGTTTGCTGCTGCTATTTACAATTATTTACATTTCTGGGTGTATCTTTTTATATGTAGGGCGGCCCGGTGGCCGAGTGGTTAGCACGTCAACCTCACAGTGCAGAGGTGCAGGGTTCGATTCCGGCTCCAGCCTTCCTGTGTGGGGTTTGCATGTTCTCCCCCGTGCCTGCGTGGGTTTTCTCCGGGCACTTCAGTTGGCAGGTTGATTGAACACTCGAAATTGTCCCTCGGTGTGAGTGTGAGCACGAATGGTTGTTCGTCTCTTTGTGCCCTGCGATTGGCTGGGAACCGGCTACGGGTGTTCCTTGCCGACTGCCTAATAAGTGGCACCACAAGCCGAGACTCACAGCTCGTCTTTATCTTCGACTCAAAAGCTGTGCTGAACTCAAAGCCAAAATGATGCAACACTGCCATCTATTGGCATTTGTTCGCCAATGCAGTTATGTAGAACGGACCGACCTACAAACCTCCCGCATCTGTATGGTAATCGACCTCCACCTGCCAAATAGAGCAAGCTGAGCTCGCTGTTTTTCTGATGGAAACGTGCTAATGTAAATGTATTGTTTTTGCTCTGCTGTGTGTGTGTGTGTGTGTGTGTGTGTGTGTGTGTGTGTGTGTGTGTGTGTGTGTGTGTGTGTGTGTGTGTGTGTGTGTGTGTTTTCTTTCCAAGGCTGAACATGAGGCTTTCCTTGTTGGCGCTAACTGTACATGACCTTACGTTGAGGTTTTTCATATGTCAGCTGACAATGATCATTGCAGCGAGTGGAATTTCATTTCGAACTTCCTGACAACCCCCCGGCCCCCTCCACCTCCACCAGTCTCCTTCGGCTGCCGCCTCCTCGTGTAAGGGCTTCGGAGTTCCACCGGCGGCTATTTGCTTGGCGCAGCCGGCGGAATGTGCGCTCGTGTTTGCCAAAAGAGAAAAATCCTCAAGTGCGGGGCAATGAGTCTATTTGGCTGGAAAAGCCAGTCAGGGAAACGAGTTTGATCTCTCATCGCATCACGACATTAATTGATTATGAGTCTGTTTATTGTCTTGTGAGGAGCAAAATGTTGTTTTTTTTCAAGTGAATAGGATCATTGATGAGGTTTTCGCGGTGGAGGAAAAAGGATGAAGATACATCCAGGTTGTTTCCCTTCTGTTGTGTGATAGATTATTATTATGATGTGCATTTTTAAATTAGTTGCTGTTATTTATTTTTATTAATTTTTTGTTGTTAATTTATTTTTATTCAGGTATTTTTGAACTTCGTTTGTACTTGTTATTTTGATTTATTTTGTTGATTATATTTTTTTAATGCACAGATGAGATATGTGTGTTTATTAACAATGTATTTTTATTTTTGAGTGCATGAAGCAGATTTTTATTTTATGTCGACACTTTTTTCTTTAAAAAAATACAAACTATCTGTTTATTTCGATTTTATTTCATTTTCTCTATTATTTGTAAAAAAAAAACAAAAAAAAAACAACTTGACCAAGATCAGTTTTGACGAGCGCTAATGTCAAGTCATTGAATTACTCAGAAAGTGGAGTTTGCATGTTCTCCCCGTGCCTGCGTGGGTTTTCTCCGGGTACTCCGGTTTCCTCCCACATTCCAAAAACATGCATGGCAGGCTGATTGAACACTCGAAATTGTCCCGAGGTGTGAGAGTGAGCGCGGATGGTTGTTTGTCTCTGTGTGCCCTGCGATTGGCTGGCAACCGGTTCAGGGTGTCCCCTGCCTACTGCCCGAAGACAACTGGGATAGGCTCCAGCACGCCCCACGACCCTTGTGAAGATAAAGCAGAGCATAAAATGGATGGATGGATTGATTTACTCCGAAATATGACTTTTAGCAAGAAAATAGCCGGATATAAATCGACGCCGGCGACTCCGCAAATTGGCCTTGCGCCGTTAGTGTGAGCAGTACGGTAAAAGGTGGGGCGGGCTCTGGCCTTCCATGTGCGTGGCGCGTTTGATTGACATGGCGGAGCCTCGCTCGCACTAGTCCGCGTCGCGCCGCGCCAGCAGACAGGCGAGCAGGCAGGCAGGCGAGCTCCGGAGCCTGGGAATTTAAAAAAATATATACGCGCACACACACTCACACACACTCACACATACCGCCACCATCACCAAGACGAAACGAGAAAGGCAGCCAACGTCGCGGTCCCGTCTCCACGTTGTTTCATTCGCAGCGAGGTAAGTTTCAACTCTTTCGAAACAAAGGAGGCCATGTTGGAGAGGGAAACTTATAAAGTGCGTGCGTGAGTGAGTGAGTAAGTGAGTGAGTGTGTGTTGGTCGCGCTGACGCCGGCAGTCTGATCCACTTGGCCAGCAGCGTCCAAAAAGAGGGGAGCGAAAAAAAAAGGGAAACTTTTCGGTGCGTTTAGGCACCGCTGAAAAGTGCGTCAAAAGTGGCGTTTGGCAACTTTTTCTCCACAGTCCAAGTGTTGTTTGTTTTGCTGACTTTTGTTTGGATGGAGAGTGAGCAACGGGAGGACAAACTTCAGCCTCCAATGCTAAATTTCTGTATTCCTTTGCTTTGCTTTCAAAAGTCAACTAATCCGCGTCGAAGATGCTGACGAGGCGAACTAGCTCGTTTTGCTGCAATTGACTTTTTTTTCCCCCTCTCTCTCTCCCTTTTTTTATTTATTTTTTTTAACACACTCAAACTTGGCGAAAGTGTCTCGCAACTTGGCGTAAAATACTCCCGTATCGCTCCACAAATCAGTAACACAAGCCTCCCTTTTAATCTCTTCCAATTTATAGAGATATTATGGAGACTGTTTGTTGCTTTTGGGTCATTTTGTGCATTTTCTCCCCCCTGCACAATGAGGCGTTGAGAGGAGGAAAAAAAAAAGTCTCCACTCCAGCAGATCCTAGCATTCCTTCCAGCCAGCCTCCTTCTCTCTCTTTTTTTTTTGCCTCCACCTCTCAGAAACGACTACGTGTCTGTTTGTGCACCAACACATCTATCAATCTGTCTAGCCACGTCTTTCTCATGTTTTCTTCATTTCCATACTTGGGGGGGGGGGGGAAACATCCCTCAAAAAGTTGGAATTCAATGTAAAAATCGACATGTCTGTGTGTGTGGTTTGATTGTAAGTTTGGAATCTGCCTTATCTATCGATGCCCCCCCCCCACCAACACCCCCTCCTCCCCTCAGCTGCTCTTGCTAAATAGTGGACTCTGGATCCAGGGGGCAAGTTGGAGAAAAGAAATGTCAAGCACACGCACAATTTTGTCAGTGCAGAAAGAGAAGAAGAAGAGGAGAAATCTGATCCCAAATAGATGACGTCAGATGACATTCCTTTAGTGCAAGGCTGATGTGGCTGTTTTTTTTTTTTTTTTGCCCCTTTTTCTTTGCTTAGGACTAAAATGGGGGACAGGGCGGGAGTGATGATGTAACAAGGTGATAGTTTTTCTACCCCCCGCGCGATTGTTTTTGGGACAGAAAATGGTTGTCGCAAAGCTGGTAAAAATAGACGAATAATTAAATAAATACACTAAATCAAAAGTTTCCTTACAGCAGTCCAAACATGTTATTCCGATTAATATTGCAAATATCAAACCCAGAAAACTGGTGAGCTACATGTTTTTTTTTTTCCAATCTGAGTCATCAATCAATCGAAAAAAACATTGAAAGCATCACTGATTATTAATCGTTAGTGAGCAGCCTCTCATATATATTATAAATTTTGATCAATTATTCAACCTTATTGTTGGGAATCTTTGTTTAGCCCCTGAAAAGGCTGTCCTGACTCGTCTTTGTTTTATGCCAGTGGAACCAAATCACCACAGGTCATAAACATCAAAATCGCAGACTAATAAACAATTGTCTGTATTGCGCCTAATAAATCATCAAATCAAGGACTATAAGACAGAAAGGCCTCAAGTGCCTTTGGTTGATGTTGTCTCAGCCGTATCAAAGCTGACTGAGAAAAATCACTTTGAGTCCAGTACATTACTCAGAATTCGGGGTCCATGTGCAAAACGGCTCTCTTCCGCTCCATCTCCGGTAGTTATGGAAACCACGCCTGGCGCTCATTTCCCACACACCGCTGACGTACGCCATGCAACAACGCACCACTCTGCAATAGATTACAGGAACAAAAACGACTGTTTACCACACTGCCATCGTTGCACTTTGTTGCAGGGTCTTTAAAATAAGCGTCATTACGCAAATGGCGAACATCAACAGCGCGGCACTTTCAAGTGCCCGCGGGCCACAACATGCAAATGAGAAATGAACGTTGCTCTCCTCCTGTGTTTACTTCTAAAGTAGACCATTTTTTATGTGAGAGGAGATGAGGGCTGCTGTGTTCTGGGGCGTGAAAAACTGGGGCTAGCTAACGTAGCTAACAGGCTATGCTAATCGTAGCTCTGCGCACATCTATAGTAGTGAGACAGCGTAGTGCATGTTTGAAAAATGACACGTTTTTGGCTATCTGGTTGATATATCGCGGATGGTTATCGAACGTGGAGCGAGCTCTGCCCAAAAAAAGATTTATTGTCGAAATGAAGCTCCTCAACTCATTTTATCACGAAGTTTCTTGGCAGCTAGAAAAGCCTCGTGGATGTTTTGTCCAAATGAAGTTTTCAGACTTCCACGAAGAAGCATCAGACCAGTTAATCGGGGAGAGGATGGGTTCTCCCCAAAAATCTGCAGTTTAATTCGCAAATGCCAAATCGCGAATATACGGGGATTCACCGTTAGAGTTTTTGGTTGGTGTGCGCTGGCATTTCTACGGTGTCAAATATGTGCTTTTGCAAGCTCTCTCTCGTGGTATGTGGCGGGGAAAAAAAAAAAACCCAGAATTAATGTTCCGATGGTTTTTAACTTATTTTTCTAAAATCCAGTACAATATATTAAGTACAATTCAGTTGTATTTAACTTGGCAACACAATTCAAATTTTAGAAGTGATTGTTTTTGAACATGAACTGAGCCACAATTTGTATTGAAGTTTAATGTGTAATGCATATGAATTGAATCAGGATTTAAGTACCAAATTTTCCCTTTTCTAATATTCAAGCACGGCACGACAGTAGCTGACAATCATACGAAATCAACCTAAAACTGCACACACTTTGGCCTCCAACATGAGTAACACAGACAATATTTTAGTTGTTGCTCACAAAGTCGGTATTTGTTGAGCTAAGAGTTATTTTTATTTTTTTGAAGAGGTGGTACCTGTTTTAAAAAGTTTGAAACCCTCAGATGTCGACAGTCAAAATATTAGGCACAGCCGCGATGTCCCGCGCCTCCGCAGTGTCTTTTCGACGCACCTCTTGCCACGTGTGCTCGGTGTTGTGGCCACTTAAGTGTAATTAATGTCACCGCAGTAAACTTGGCCCTGGGGGCAATTACATTTGACTTCATGCCTGCGTTACCGTGATGTAAAGACCCCACAGCCACCCCTCCACCCCATCCCCCATGTTTTCTTGATGTTAAGCCTCGGCGGCCTTTGCGTTTCAGCGCACCCAGAATGTAAACAAAGCATCCCGAACCGTCGAGCAGATGCCGGGGCAGGAATGCTTGGATCTTCAGCTCGCTGGAACTTAATGAGTGAGATTTTCTCGTTCTGGTTTGCGGCGGCACCGGGAATGCGTACAGCTGCAGGATGTATGCGGCGTTGAAATAATGATAATCTCCCCATTTTATTTATTTTTTGGTTGCTGCTAAGAGCTCAGAAGCTTTTGTTGACGGCGGAGTCAGATTTCTGTTGGCCTTTTTCTTCCGTGTGCATAGGTCAGCGGGTTGAATAACACTTTATGTAAGTCGACGACCTGCTTTCCGTAACCATTGCAAGTTTGTTTCCCAGGTACGACTGGGCTGTGGATTATTTTATTTATTTATTTATGTTGTAACTGTTTGGGTTTATTTGGCCGATATTGATATCCGATTTCTCCAGAACTTGCCGATGAGCTGTTCATATGAATCAGGTGTGTTGGAGGAGTGAAACATCTAAAAAATGTCCCCCCCCCCCCCCCCCCCCGCAAAATATCGGAGTTGCCCACCTCTGTCGTATAGGAAATGGATGGAGGGGAGCAAATGAGCCCGAATGGGATGCAAGCATGGTTGTCTGCATGCTTTTCTAAGGCTAAGCTAGCGTTAATGCTATTTGATTTTGTGACTTTCTACTTTTTGTCTGAAAATCTACAATACAAAACTTTGTCATCTTGTTTTAGATAATGTGGGGAGTTGGGGGGGTGTCTACATTATGATACGTTGTGGTTGTCTCCTCTTAAGCTCTTTTAAGGCTAAGATAAAAAGAAAAAAAAAGCTTTTTGTCATTTGACAAAGTTTTGGCAGTTTCCTCTATTTATTGAAATTCAACAATTTATGTGTCAAGTCAGATAACGAAGAAGAGAGTCGACAAAATTTTACTCGGTTCCATGCATTGTGGTTGTGTATGGTTCTGCTTTTCTCAGGCTATGCTAACGATACATTTTGTCATTTGTCAAAAATGATATTTTGTTATTTGTCCCATTTTTGGGGGGGGGGCAGGGGGGTGGGGCTTTGTTTGACTTGCTTCTTTTTATCTGAAAGCCCAATAAGTGATATCGCTCATGTGGATGAACAAAAGCGTTGACAACATTTCAGACTTTTTGATGCATTGTGGTTGTCTCTTGGCATGCGTTTCTCAGGCTGTGCCAATGATAGCAATTTACTTGACTTTCTTGTTTCAAATTTCAAAACCGACAACTCACATATGTCATGTCGATGAAAGAAAACATATCTTTGCCCTGTGGTTGTCTACCGTTAGGCTTTGCTATGCTAATGAAAAGCATTTTATTGTGTCGCTTTCATTTCACCCGAAAACCAACAACTCACACATGCCATGTTTTAGCTAATGAAGAAAGTAGCCAACATGTGGCCATTGTTACACATTTCTACTGGTTACACTGACAGCCTCTTATCAATTGTCAACATTTTGTGACTTATTTTTTATCTAAAAACAGCTTTGATGTGTCATGTTTTATCTCATGAAGAAGAAAGAAGAAACAACAATGCCCACTTGTTGCTTCCTGTTACGCTTTGTTAATGCTATGCTAACTGTAGCATTTTATCAGCGACATTACTCGATTTCACTTAGCCGGTCCAGAAATCATTATTTACTCCAAATAGAAAATCTTTGTCATCTATCTCTGCCAGCAACATATAGCGACCAGCGGAACAGCCAAACGACCTGAATTA